ATTCCATTCACCAGCACTCTCTGGGCCAGGCCAGCAGCCAGTTTTAAATCAGAGAACAGAGCACCTAAGCCACAAGCAGCTGGTATCTCCAGGAGAATTCTATGGGATTCAGTGTCAAAGACTTTTCTAAAGCCCAGGAAGTCAACATCCCTGGACTTTCCCTCATCCACTGTGTTGTAGAAGGAGATTGGGTTGGGCAGTAATGCCTCTCACAAACCCAGGCTGGCTGGGCCTGATCTCCTGGATCTCCTGTAGGTGCCATGTGATGGGCACTCAAGAAGATCTCCATGGCTTCCCCAGCAGAGGTCAGGCTGACAGCCCAAAGCTCCACAGATTCTACTTCTAACCCTTCCTGAAGACAAACATTACACTAGCCACTCTCCAGGTGCCTGGGGCCTCCTTGGTTAGCCAGGACTGCTGTAAATTATGGGAGTGGCTTGGTGAGCTTTCCACCAGCTCTCTTATATATTCAGGTACACAGCAGGACCAGGACCCTTCAAGATGGACCTTCCATTCGTACTACTGTCCTCCTGATGCTCATATCCAGAAGCACCCTATGATGTCAGCAATGAGGACATCATTGGTTCTGTATTTTCTGAGGCAGCTGAGGAACTAAACCAATCTATGATGAAAACAGGAGCAGTGGTGATGACAAGCTGGAATACAGGGAATTCCAATATGAAAGAAGAAATACATTTGTATTCTTTTTTGTATTCAGGTGATACAACACCAGAATAGGGATTAGAGAAGTTGAGTGATATCTGTTCCTTAGGACATATCTAAAAGCATCACTGGATGCAGGCTCTTCTGATACCACCTCCACTCAGCATCACACTGCACTTGGGATATCCAGGGCAAAAAAACCAATAAAATTAATTTTAAAAAATCTTTTATTGTTCAAAAGCAACAGCTTAGATGAGACTTCTTCAATTCCACCACAATGAAAGTCAAACTGCAAAAGGGAAGCAAGACACTGCAGAAGTTTCATCAACATTCAGTGCCCAGGTGCATAGACCCAGAGCCACCTCCTCAACTTAATGACTTGACGAAATCCTGAGGTCCTTAGAAATAAACTATTTTATAACTCTATCAAAGGCTAAAAATAAATATTTTATTCATATTAATACAAAGAAAACAACAATATGGTAGAACAAAAACCCAGAAAAACCTAATGGAGAACTACAAAAAGACTTGGTAAGTGTCCCAGGCAGAATGGAAGTTTTGGACAACATTTATCAGGGAAGTCTTCCCATTGAGGTTCAGAAAGTATCTCCTTGCAGGCTAAACTCCTTCTCAGAGAAGTCTGGAGGAAGTTTAATACAATCCTAATCCCATATTAGGTACATGGTTCATCTCTAAAGAATTATATAACTGTAAATGAGTCTTCATAAAAACTTGACCTGTAAGATCATGGACATATTTATTTGAACTTTTATAAAGGAAACATATTTATATGGGAAAAACAAATTAATAAATTTGTAAAAACAAATCTATCATGGCAATAATCAAAGAATTTTAATCAGAATTATCTGTGACACAGACAGTTGCAACTACGTGTAGAGTATTCCACTGCACAAATCCTTCAAAACCAGCTTAATAATAGGCTAGAGAACAATGCAATTAATCAGATGACTATGGTTCAGCCTCAAGCAATAACCTACAGATATGTCCCCACTCAAGGGAGGAATATGCATGCACACTAGTAGAAGGTCTGTGCTGAAAAACCATACAGTTAAGGTGTGAAAATGAAATTATACAGAATAAAATTATTGACACTAATGCATAAAAAGCAGTGAAAGCTTAAACAGCACAGTACCTTAATAGAAATAAACCAGTTACTTCTTAGCAAATTCCCAAAACCACCACTTCCTTTTTTTTACACCACAATTAACTTGGCATGTCCTGAGCAGTGTAATTATATATCAGGAAACACAACCTTAAAAATCTTCAAAATATTTGACTTTAGAGGAGATAACGAAGACTGATATTAGCACCCCTCAAAACAAACAAATATATTACCTGCGCTGCTCAAAATCACAAATGCAATTTAAAAAAAGTAAAGCCCAAATTACTATACGGCAACTGACGCAGAGTGTCCTGTTCAGGGCAAGAAAGGAAATTCAGAAAAACACAAGAGGAAAAAGAGATAAACCCAGAGAGAAGAGAAAACCACAAAAAACCCAAAACATCAGAGCAACAAAAGCATGTGGCACAAATGCGGGACATCATTCCCCTAAATCAAACATACGAAAGACCACATCCATGTACAAAAAGAGAACTAAAACACCACACCAAGCCATGGACATCCCAACAACAACCACAGCCACCAGCACAGGCTAGAAAACAC